TCCCCCCCGGGCAGGGGCCCCCCCTGCGGGCCCGCTGCCTGGCCCAGCCACCAAAGCAGGGGCAGAGCTCAGGGTGTCCAGGGTCCTGCCAACACGACCGGGGTGCAGGCTGATAACGGGGGAAATCTGGGGCAAACCGGGGACAAACCTGGGACAAACCTGGGACAAACTGGGGACAAACCTGGGGGTGGGGGGAGAGGGGGCTCGGTGCTGCCATCGCTCTCCTCTGCTTCAGGCTGTTGGCTCCCTGGATGGAGGGGTACCCCACAGCTCAGCACGGTCAGAGGAGCAAATTCCCTTCACGGGAGTCAACCCTTTCCCTAGGCCACTGGTAAAAGCTCCTCCACGGCCTCCCGTGCTGTACGGAGGAATTACCTGGTGGCCAGCTCCCTGGTGCAGCACGTGAATAATTCATATATCAGTCGCTGCCTTTAATTATTGAACACGTCCATTTTTCCATTGTTTGGTGAGTGCCACCGCTCTGCGCAGAGAGGCAGCGTGATGGACATTTTCCATCTTTTATTTAGCTTAAATTATAGACCAGAGCTGGGGAATCTCTAATTTAAAAAATGTGTAATGAGCCTTTTTTAAAAAAAATATGTGTTCAGGCCCAAGGGCTGACCAGAGTCCTGGCGAAGGTGGCCATGGTTCGTGTCTGCCTGCGGTGCCGGTTCTCCAGGCAGAGCGCTTGGGCTTCCCGCCCTGGGCGCTGGGGACATCAGATTAGCGCTGGGGACCGCAGATTGGCACAGGCAAAGCCCCACCGGGCTGCTTTGGGCAGGTTTGGCTCCTGAGCTCCCCACGGCCTCGTCCCAGCCCGGTCCTGGGCACCCGCCTCCAGTGTCACATCACACCGGGCTCTCTAGGAAGCTGCAAGGTTTTGAGAATTTATTTTGTTTTCCTCTGTGTCTCGATTTTGCAAGAGAGGAGAAAAAACCCCACAGCAGCAGCTGGCAGGGCCCCCTGGGCTCGGAGCCACTGGGATGTCGGGAGCTCTTAACTGCAGGAGGACCCAGCATGGTGGGCAGCGGCCAGAGGACATGCTGCTGGGGAGACGAGGGGTGAAGGACGTTTAATCCACGTGCCTGTGTCACCGTCAGTCTCCTGACCCTTCCCTCCTGGAGGGATCCCTCCGTGTCGCTTGGGTGCCCAGGGCAGAATCTCCCAAGGGAGGGGAAACTCCCGGCTTCTCCCCGTCGCTCTGCCGTGACTGTGCTGCCCTTTGCAGCAGGACTTGCTGCCTTCTTAGAGGCCTTCCTGGTAGCAAGAGGGGGGTTTTGCCGTGGCCACGCTGGCTCAAGGCCCATCAGGGTCCCTAAATTGCAGCCTCAGTCCTGCGCGGGGTGCGGGTGCTGACTCCCCCTCCCTGGTGCCGTGCCTGGAGGTGAGCAAGGCGTGTCTGCTTGCAGGGAGCAGGCGGAGGCGGAGGTGCAGGACCCCAAAGCAAGAGCCAAAGCCAACTGGTTGAGAGCCTTCAACAAGGTCTGCATGCAGCTGCAGGAGGTGAGCAGCGCCGCCGGGTCCCAGCGCCGCGTCCCAGCGCTGGCCATGAGCTGGGCTGGGGCTTCGGCCCCTTCCCACGCCCGGGCACCTTCCAGACACCTTCGCTCCCCGATCCCGTGGACATCGCCCACCCTGAGGGCAGTGGGGACCTGAGGGGCCCCAGCAGTGGGGTCCCACCACCCCATTCACGGCAGGTGGGACCCCCGTGAGGGGCAGGGAGCGCTGAGGACCTTCCCCCGGTGTGTGCTGCATGTGGTGTGGTGTGCTGGCGTGAGCCCCTCCACCCTCTCCCCTGTATTGAGCTGACAATCTTTTGTTTCATTTTTAGACTCCATCCTCCATCTTTTCTTTTTGTTTTGGCTCTGGATTCGCCCCCCTGGGGTTTCGACCCCCCTCCCCACCGCTTCTCTTTTCAGTTGTCCACCACCATGGCCCTTGCGCCCGCGTCTCCCCTCCCTGCAGGTAAGCGTGTCCCACGCGTGCCTTCGCTCCGTGTCTGTGTGTGTGTGCAGGGATTGCCCTGTGAGGGAGGTAGGATTGGCTCTTTGCTCCCTTCTCCCCCTCAATCGTCCGCTCCGTGCGCGGGCGGTGGCACGGCGGGACGGTCCCTGCACACAGCCCATCCCCGGTGTCTCTGCCCTGCCCTGCGCCTCTCCCCATCGGGCTGCGGGTCCGTGCGGACCCGCTCAGCCTCTCCAACGCCGCTTCTCCCGCC